ATCTGGAGGCTCCCAGCAGTGTCCCCTGATCTATCTGGTGGTATCAATGCTGCCTTTGAGGTGGGGGTGGCTGACCAGACCCCTCTGAGGCCATTGTGTGGCCTGGACTTGCTGGGCTGGACTGAGAAATTGTATTAGAGCAGGGAGGGGGATGTAGAAGGAAAATGAGCCCCCTTCCAGGCCTGACTGCATGAAGGGGAAAGTGCTGGATGGCTAAAGCCTATAGAGGACCAGCAAGAACCCTGGCCCAGGACTTGTAGGGAGTAAGGGCTGCTCTTGGGGAGGCTGGGGAGTAGAGTGGTAGCAGCCAGGGGATAGGACCTTTCTTCCTCTCTGGGACTCAGGATGGCCTCAGTGGAGCTTGGAGACTCTCTATCTCTTAGGCCCCATAGCCACAGGCTGGGCCGCTGCCCACTGAGGGTCTAGCAGAGGTGCATGCGCTGGGTGAGGGGCTGTGCTTCTCCCTAACTCTGGGCCAGTGCCAGCCTCTAATTCTTTTTTTAAACTTAATTTTATTGGTACATTTTAGGTATACAATATAATGACATTCATCATTGGGAATTTGCACCTTTATATAATCTCTCTCCATTCTTATTTTTTTCCCACTTCCCCTTCCCTCCCTTCAACCCCTCCATCCTTCCCTATTTACAAAGATTTTGTTTCCATTTTTTCATTTTCTCATACTAATTCCATTCCCTTCTTTCCTTTCCCCTACCCGATCCACTTCCCCTTCCCCTTTGCCCCTTGTCTTCCTATTTCACATTATCTATTATACCTTTTGGTCCTTATTTACACTTTCAGTTTCTCACACTTAGAGAAATTATTCGGTATTTACACGTGTGTCCTATTTCACTCGAGTACTGCTTCAGTGTGCATCCATTTAGCTATAAATGTCTCTAATTTCTCATTTTTATGGCTGAGTAGTACTCCATTTTATAAAAAAATCACATTTTCTTTATCCAGTCTCCAGTTGATGGGCTATTGGGCTGCTTCCAAGTTTGTTTGTTTTTTTTGATCAATCTCCCAAACTTTATAAAAATGAAAAAAGACACAAAATAATATACGTAGTATAAGTCTGTTCATATAAATTTCAAAACCAATGCTTTAAACAGTTTAGCATATAAAATACCCATCTATAGGGCTATAAAGAAAACATGACAAAATGCTAACAACTGGAATTGAGGTGAAGAGCATGAAAAGGTTCATTTTACTTCTTTGCTACTTTCCTTCAGGTTGAGAATTTTCAAAATAAAAGAATAGGAAAGGGTTAAAAATCAGCCAAAGCTAATGTTCACTGTTTTGGAGTAGTTTGGGTACTAAATGATAAAGAAAATAAACATCAAAATTCGGCACAGGGCGGACTAGGGAAGAAGGGTGAACCGGTTATGACAGAGAGCCCCTCGGGGAGCTTCTGGTGCTGGTGGTTTCTTCCTCCCCATGTAAATGCTATGCATTTCCTTTATAATTACTTATTAAACTATCCATATGAATTCTATGCATTTTTGGATGTATATTTCACAAGAGGAAAATCATAAAATTGCTATGAGAAAAATTGCTATGCATTTGATAAACATTATTTTTAAAGAATAAACTTTTTGATTTGTAACAAGTAAACATTAAGTAAGGGGGCTTTGGCCAAGTGGATCTTTTTGTATTTGAGGATCAATCATTAAAAGGTACTTTCCAGGGCCAGGGATTTAGCTCAGTGGTTCCGTCATTTGCCTTGCAAGCGCAAGGACCCGAGTTCAATCCCTGGTACCAAAAAAAAAAAAAAGGTACTTTCCATGGACTAATTTTTTAAGGCTAATTAAAATCATGTCTCTTAGTTTTACATTAGATAGGTTTTTTTTGTTTTTTGTTTTTTGTTTTTTTGAGACAGGGTCTTGCTATGTAGTTTAGGCTGGTCTTGAACTCAACTATGTAGCCCAGGCTGGTGTTGAACTTGTAGCAATCCTCCTGCCTCAGCCTCCCGAGTGCTGGGATTACAGCCCTGTGCCATCACACTTGGCATAAATTCTGAATCTTATTAAATTTGATACTAGGTAATACATTCTTCGAAGTAATTCCCATGAACTGCAGCATGACACCCTGATTTCATCTGCTTTTTAGCAGGTATCCTAGTATATGCCACTTAAAATTTTAAGACAACTCTAGATATAAGTTTTACAATTATGTAAATATCATGCCTAATTCATATTGTTCATGTGTGACTTTCGCCTATTTTCTATAGCTTTTTCTGACTTCCTCATTGGGATTTAACAGTATTTTTTTTGTGTTACACTGTCAAAGGCAAAAAGTGATCAGAATTTCACATTCCTAGACTGACTTTTAATGTACATTACATTAATCCACTTGATTTTCACCTGTGTCATCTAAATCATTATCAAAATCTAAGTCATCATCACTTTCTTCATTCCTTTTGCAGCTTCTTCTACAATTGGATCTTTGATTATTTTCAGTATTTTCTGTCTTTTCTGGTTCTTTATTAAATGGAATAACAATGTCTTCTTTCTTTCCACATTTCTCACAGACTTCAAGTTCACAGGCACATGGTCTACAAATTATGCGGTAAGACTCCTTCACAGTCTTCTGCAAATATTTAACCCATTTTTTTAGGTTTTGCTAATGGTTTATATTTGCTGTATTTTACCCACCATTCAAGAACTTCTTTATAACGCTGACATACTCCATCATGAAGTTTTGCATTAATTTTAACATAAATTTTTCCTAGAAGTCAACAAGTAATATTTGATTACTTCTTCCCATGCTATTACAAATTGTGCTGCTATGAACATAGGCGCACATATATCATTGTGGTATGATTCTTTTAATTCTTTGGGGAAGATACCCAGCAGGGGAATAGCTGCGTCAAATGGGACTTCCAGTCCTAGATGTTTGAGGTATCTCCATACTGATTTCCACAGTGGTTGCACCAGTCTACACTCCCACCAGCAGTGGAGCAGGGTTCCTCTTTCCCCACAGCCCTGCCAGCATTTGTTATTGGTTGATTTCATGATAGCAGCCATTCTTTCTGGGGTGAGGTGGAATCTCAGCGTTGTTTTCATTTGCATCTCTCGAATGACCAGTGATGTTAAATGCTTTTTCATATGTTTATTTGCTATTTCTACTTCTTTGTCTGAGAAATATCTGTTCATTTCAGATGCCCATTTTTGGATTGGGTCTTTAAATTTGGGAGATCTGATTTTTAAAAATTCTTTATAGATTCTAGATAGTAGACCTTTGTCTGAGGGACAGCAGGTAAAAATTGGGTTGTCTCTTCACACTGCTGGTGGTTTCTCTTGCTGTGCAGAAGCTTTTTGTTGTTGTTGTTGTTGTTACAGAAGCTTTTTAATAAGAAGAGATCCCACTTGTGGATTGATTGTGCTAGCTCATGGGCAACTGAGGTTTTGTTCATGAAATCTTTTCCTAGGCCAATGTCTTCAAGAGTTCTACCTAACCTCTATTCCAGCTGGGTCAGCATTTCTGTTTTAATATTTAGATCTTTAGTCCATTTCGATTTTAGTTTAGTGCATGGTGAGAGATATAGGTCTAGTTTTAATCTTTGGCAAGTTGAAACCCAATTTTTCCAGCACCATTTATTAAAGAGGCTACCTTTCCTCCCGTGAGGGTGTTTGGCTCCTTTGTCGAAGAAGAGGTGGCTGAGTGTGTCTGGCGTTGTCAGCCCCTAATTCTTACACCCCAGTCCAATGGTCAGTGTAGCCAGGACCAAGTCCCTGCTTTGAACTCTGGTCTGCAAGTCAAAGAGCTCAGCCTGCAGGGGAGAGTTATACCTGCTGGACCATAACGATAACACATTTGTGCTAAGCCAAGGTGAAACTGCCAATTTGGTTGGAAGACTACAAGAAAAATTAGAAAAGATCACACAACTCATAGTATGCTATTTTCCAAATCCTTTTTCTTACCTTCTGTCTATAATAACATCTCTCTCTCATTCTCATATATGAATATATGGGGTTTTGTGTGTGTGTGTGTGTGTGTGTGTGTGTGTGTGTATGTGCGTGTGTGTAACATACGGTATGGGTATAGCCTTTCTTGGCATTCTAAGAAAATGTATATATGTCCACTTATGTATGTGTGTGTATATGTGCAACTCCCCTCCTTCAACTTCTCCTTGGCCCATTCTCCCCGAAAGCATAGTTTAGCCATGCTGATCTAACACTCTAAATACTCTTTAGGGGACATTAGGACGTAAATATGTTATAGACAGAGGCTGAAGAATCCCTTTGGGGTTGAGGGTGGGATTTCAGGCAGAATTTGGTGGGGTATATTAAAGGGGTAAATTTGGCACTAAGACATCTACATTGGCCACCTTCCATCCCTTGCTCCAATCTCTGGCTAGGTGTCCTGGGACCCAAGATGGCAACAGTTTCTAAGGGCAAACCTATGTTTTTGCTCCTGGATGAGCCTGGATATCATTGGCCACAGGCCACTTGCCTCTTATAATGAAGTGTCCAGAACCTGGATGTGACAAACACAAGGAAGCAAGCAGACAATACAAAGTCGAGCTGCACAGCCACAAGCCACCTACAGAGGAGCCCTCACCAGCTCTTCCCTATAGGCTCTTCATTTCAATCCCAAGACTCCCAGCTATAGTTTCCCCACTTCAAACTGACCACATGGAGCAAATCTATGAACAGACCCCCTAGAGTGGCAATGACAGCGGGCCCAAGAGGAAAAAGGCAAAAGCTGATACAAGTACTCAGAAAGAGCCATTTTACAGAGAGGTGAGCTGCTCACCACACTTTACTGGCCTGAGAAGACATCGCTGTAATGTACTACAGCCAATGCAACAATTAGAACTTGAAGTAATAACACAGGCCATATGGGAAAGTTAAATGATACCTGTGTGTCCTGTTTAAAACGGTAGTTCCAGTGCTTTGGGAAAAGATGGCAGCACCGAGAAACGCCCTCTAGAGGAGAGTAGTGGTCACTGCATGGAGGAGCTACAGCATGGCATCCCAGGGTTGGAAATGACCTACCTTTGAATGTTATCTTCCAGTTGCTTGACTCTGAACTCATCCTCCTCAGACTGCTGCCGCCTGGCTTCCTCCTCCTCGGCCGTTCCAGCGGGTATACCCTGCAGCAGCCATTTTTCACGAAGCACTTTGGACTGTGGGAATGAGAAAAGACAACAGATAAGATGTCACTTTTCCATCCACACTTGCCTCTGCACCTGCTGGGTTGCTGTTTTAGCTCTGTTCCTCACCAGGGTTCATCTGAATGGCAGCCTTCCTTCCTGCTTGGCTTGGGATTTAGTTCTATCTTTTCTTTTTATTCAGTTAAATACTTACTGAGAACCTATCGCATAACACAGCACTATTCTGGCTTCCAAAACATAAAAGCAAAATCCTGCTTTATACAACTTTTGTTTTAGTCAAGAGACAACAAAGAAACATCTACACACACACACACACACACACACACACACACACACACACGGAGGTATAGGTCTATATACAAGTGCATGTATTTTTTTCCCCAAGAGGGTGCTGGAAATGCAAGAAGTAGGGGGAATAGAGGGAGGGATAAGGCAGGTGTAGATATATTTATTTATATAGGATGTTACCAAAAGATCTCATTGATAAATGACATTTAAACAGGGACCTGCTGTAACAATCATGTAGTTCTCTGTGGAGAGTGTAGCCCTGAGAAAGTTGTTGATGTCTATTTTTTCTATTATTAAAAAACAACAGAAAAAATAGAGTGAATTGTACAATAAATACCCATGTAATCTTATCTAAATCTAACAATTATAAACATTTACTATATTTTCTCATACATTTTTCACCAATGCATTGTAAAGCAATATCACACACTATGTACATTTCACCTACCAATATGTCAGCATAAAATAAAGATGTCTTTAAAAAAACAAGGACTTTTTTCTTTTGTACCAGGGGATCAAACTCAGGACCTTGAACTTGCAAGGCAGGAAGCGGAACCACTGAACTAAATCCCCAGCCCCAACAAGGACATTTTTCTATGCAACTACATTTCCATTGTAATATGTCCTGATTGTCCTAGTAATAGCCAGTCCATATTTAAATGTTCTTTTTAAAAGGCTGTCATACCTCTTCTTTAAAACCTTTTAGTGACTCCCAAACATCCTCAGCAGTGCTCTCCAATATCACTAAAATCATATTCCTTACCAGTGCCAGGGCACTAACAGATCATGGAGTGGAGAAAAAAGTTTTTCTTTTAGGTCAGTGATTGAGAGGGAACAATTGGTGCTTTGAGAAGGGAGGTGAAAACAGCTCAAAAGGAAGGCATGTTGAAACTCCCCAGAGTGAACAACAAGGAGAGGCAGGTGAGGGGAAGTGTTTCCACTTGTATGTCCCCTAGATGGCAGAGAGCAGCAACTCAATGCCCACAGAGACCAGGCCTCATGCATCACAGCTGAGGGCCAGAGAGAGACCATGGGTAGGTCAGTGGTGATGAAGATGGAGTTCCGTGAGGATCCAGGGCAGGTGGCCAATCCTTCCCAGCATTAGTGGACCACCAAAGGAGCAGCAGAAATAAAGGCTATGAAGCCAATAAACATGGAGTAAGGATCAGGTTCCCAGACTCTCTGGTGTCACTTCTATCAAGAATTTTGGGGCCGAGGATTTAGCTCAGTGGTTTTGTCCCCTGCTGCACAAGCACAAGGACCTGAGTTCAATCCCCAGTACCAAAAAAAAAAAAAAAGAATTTTGTCTGATTTCATTAGCCAGGGCAGTACGTGAAAGCAGAGCGAGTGTCGGTTGTGACTGAGAGCCAGTGCATACAGGCTTGGAGCGGACTTTTTGTATCACTAGTGAACAAAAGATGCACAAATCCATAGACTGTCATTTATTTGTTGGATTATGGACTACTTATTAGGAACCTATAAAATAAGTTTTTAAAAATTACCAATGTTGAGGAGTAGTAAGTTAGATTTTACTAATGGTCCTGATTCACCATTCTACAGAGAAAGCCCAGCAGCCTGTCATTCATCACCATGGTGACCCCGCTAGACCCACAGGAACAAATTCAATGCTGCTACAATTCCCATGCTTCCAAAGATGAACTCTTTGTTAGCAATGCATCATCAGTGGATGTCCAGCCAGCCATGGTCTTTTCTGGTGGTTTTCTTGTCTTTTAATTATGAATCACTGTAGAGATCTGTTCAGTTATTCTTACAGTGCATAGAGAGGCAAATTTATAACACTGGACCAATACCTTTCTAATATAGGCTTAAAGACCTGAATTTGTTCATACATAAGGTATTGTTAACTGTACTGCTAAAGTGATTGTAGGCAGGATATTATCTACTATCCTGCCTCTGCATAAGAGCACTGAAGAATCATTCTTGGAAGGCCAGTGGCATAGCTCAGTAGAATAGTGGGTACTCAGTGAGTATGTGTGAGGCTCAGCACTGAAAATCACCCAAATAAGATTTACAAAATCACAGGTACTGCTGCCCTTCTCCTAACATGCAGAAGAGTGTTCCAGCTTCTCTAACAGTGGGTTCCATATTGATGGCCCCACCCCTCATAACTGAATCCTTTAAAGTCAGGTAGATGCTGTATCTTTATTCATTCTATGAATAAAATGACACATGGGGTTGTAGCTGGAAATAATAAATACCTGTCGAAGGAGTGAAATATTGAAAAACTATGTATACACACTGGACTTTAGCAAATATAAAATCTGAGACCAATAAAGCTGAAAAGAGTTTTGAGATCATCTAATCAACTCTTTCTCACCTACAGATAAAGTAATTGAAGCAAAACAATTTTTTGACATAATCTAAGTAAATAGTGAGAAGTGTCTGGGCACAGTGGAGGAACAGAGAGGGAAAGTAAAATATGAATCAGGACTAGTAATAAGTTTTTCTTCTGAATCGTTCACTCATCCCACCTCTCTCTAACCCTCTAGTCCTTTCCTTCTTCCTCTTTGATGCCCAACAAGGTCTTGGTTTAGTCTTGAAATTTTGTTACACAATTCACCTCACACAAGGAGAAGCCAACCCAAGATTTCCATTGTTGAAAGAAGTGAAATTTTACCTTCCACTCAAGCTGTTTATAGGGCCAGGGGAGATGCGATAGGAAAAAGGATAGGATGTAAAGTACCATGCCTATCTGTTGAATATTTCACAATTTAAAATTTGCCTTTTGCACATACTAATAACCAAGAAAAGTCTAAAATGAGTATTAGAGGTTCAAAACAGTGAAAGACATTGTAATATCCTTGTAGCAAGGCTCCTGATACCTCTGGGCTATTCAGCACATGACCTTGGTGGGTTGACAATAAGTATTTTGTTAGGTCACAATGCAGCCCTTAATCTTTTTTTCATTCAGCCATCTCTTTAAAATATAACAACAATTTTCATAGCTTGCATTGGAAGAAAACTCCAGTCTGGTTCCCTCGTTCATGAATAAGTAATTCAAAGGCAGCATATGTACTGACGCTGTGATATTAGCAGTTTGATTCTGACAGTACTGACTGTGTAAGACAAACCTTTATAAACGTGGCAGTCCCAAAGGAATGCACACTGCAATTCCTACAGAGTGCAAATTCTGTGCTGGGACTTGGAACAGACCAATAAAACACACAAATCAACCAAGGGGCAAAAGAGAATATTAAGTTCAGTCTGTTTCAGCACAAGACAGTAGTTGACTTATTTTCTTAAAACTCACATTATCACAAGTCATATTAGAAAAGCAATAAAAATAATAATTGTTTCTATGGAATAAAAAGCCAAGATAGTTTTCCAAAAGAAGAATAATGATGGCTCTTGCCTTATGAAATAATATATTTAAAAGCTATAGGGATTAAACAAGAATGGTACTGGCTCAGGAATGGGCAGATTAATGGAACAAAAAGAATTCACAAATAGCGGACTTGAGTATAAGGGAGAAATATGTGTGTGATGAAGTTGACATTTAAATCAGTGAGAGAAAAGAGGAGTTAATCAATAAATCAGGTTGAGACAAGTGGTTCAATATAAGAAAAATACACCTTTTAGGAAAACAAATTCTAGATGGATTAAAACTACTGAAGTTGTCCGGTATGGTGGCACATGCCTGTGATCCCAGCACTTGGGAGGCTGGGGCAGGAGGATCACTGCAAGTTCAAGGTCAACCTAGGCTACATAGTGAGTTCAAGGTCAGTCTGCCTGGACTACATAGTGAAACTTTGTCTCAAAAAACTAAAAAACAAACAAACAAACAATAACAACATACACACAAAAAATGACTGAAATAGAAACCTTACAAGTAAATGTTTGAGATGGAAATCTTTCTGAGAATGACAAAAAGTCAGAAATCATAAAGTAAAATATTGCTAGATATGATTTCATAAAAATTATAAATTTTTGTGTGGGAATTTAAAAGAACCCACAAACAAAGGTAAGTGCAATTTTATTTCACCCACAGGCTGATGAGGCCTGTGAAACAAGGATTAAATAGCTTAATCTAAAGAAATATGTTGGGGGGAATGTATAGAATCATATACCCCTAGGTGGGTCATATGTGGCTACTGAGTATAAAGTTGATATTTTCTTCTTGACATGTCTTGTACTTTTAAGTTTAGGTTTTTACAATGACCATATATTACTTACCTTTATAATAAGCAAAAATAACACAACTATCATAATTGCGTATTGGTTCATTTGTCAATATGTCTTAGCAATTCTTTCATCAAAAATATTAGCTACTAAATACAGCTAAGCATCTTCTAAAAAGAAATCTGAATTTAATTTGGTCAGGAACTACTATATCTCAAGGCTTCTTCATTACTGGCGTATAACAGCTAATATTTTAACATTTCATACTTTGATTCTTCATTGAAGAATGTGCTCATGGTAGTCCATATTTAAAGTAATGATATTGCATTCTGTAGAGTTACTGGATACTCTTTGCAGTTAGCAAGTGTATTGACCTTTAAGTGGCAAAACTGCGCCTTGCATTCTGTTTTCTCTGAAAAGGGACCTAGTGAATCTCTTTAAATAATTCATATCTCACTGCAATTACATAATTGACAATCATCTAATTGTGGACAATCATATAATTGTCATATGTGAGATATAGATATAGAATGTAGATTCAAATATGAGAATAGTAAATAGTAAATATAAAACCCCACGCTTTAACGCTTTTCCATTTAGCTCTGTTTGGAGAGAGTTTCTTTTTCTATGAAAGCATCCTAGATTTTGTTAAGTTAATGAAATAAATATTAATCAGTGACATATTTCCTAATATTTTCTACATTAATCTTGGTGACATGTCTCTACCTGGTCTAAAATTTCTGAAATCCACAAAAATATACTAAGGACAAGAGAGGCAGTGATGATGGTAATTGGCATCTTTCTAGACAAATTATTCAAAAGGACGGGGCCGGGGATTTAGCTTCGTGGTGCTGCTGCCTGCCTTGCAAACGCAAGGTCCTAAGTTCGAACCCTGGTCCCCCCCCGAAAAAAAATCAAAAGGAAACATTTCCTTTAGTGAGAATAGCATCCTAGGAAGAGCCTGGTCTTAGAAAGCAGAGAGCCCTCGGATTCCCCTGGGCTGCCCCACTCACATGCACAAAATGTCTATGGGCGAAATACTTGATCTCATGAACTTGTTTCCATATTTTTGAGATGGGAAGAGTAAGATGTATCTGTGGTCACCACTGAGAGTACATATTTAAAGTACCAGCACATGTTGGGCAGTCAAAAAACGGGCAACCATTTCTGAGAGGGGACAAGAAGATCATAAGGCTGCAGCACAACCTGGAGAAAGCTGCTTGGCTCTGAGAAGCTCACGAAGGAGGAAATATCACGTCAATGAACTGACTTCCTTTGAGGGGTGAGGCCAAGTTGGAAAATGAATTCTCCCTGGGAAGATGACACACTCTATTCACATTGCTTTTAAAGTGCAACATATTTATCCTTTCAGGTGCCTGACATGATCTTTTCTCTCAACCAGGCACCCTTTTCTTTCTGTCAAAATAACGCCATCATTTTAGGGAATATGTGCTCAGAACAAAGTGAGGCAAAACCATGAGGGAAATTTTGCCTGGGTCACGGTGAGGCCTGACGCCTCTCCTAGCCTTGTTCACCAACCCTGACTCCACAGTTTAGAAAAACCCAGAGCTGGTGGCCCTCTCTCTGGAGGGTATCAGATACACACTCCCACCTTTGGAGCCTCTGAGCTTTTTGATTGTTCAAGGCTAACAGTCCATCTTCCTTCTGTCCACATAAGCCTTTTTCAGAGAGAATAAAAAGCAATGCTTAGGTCTCTGCTTACTAAATTATAATCGTTTCCAGTCCTCCCCCTACCCGAGATGGACCAAGATCACTTTAGTGAGAGTGTTGGGTGTACACTTAGCCGGTCCCAGGAAAAACTCTGATTCCCTTGTTTCCAAGTCCTCAAAGGAACATCATTGCTTTCTTATGGAAAAATTAAGTCATTTTTATTATTTTTTCTGTTGACTGGCTGGACAGATGGATGGATGGACAGAGGATGGATGGACACATGGATGAAAAGATACAGAGATGAAGAATGGATAAATGGAATATGAATAGACCGTTATAACATTATGCTGGACATCAGTAATGAATGAATGCCTGGAATCTTATTTGGCACTCAGAATGATGAGAAATGGAAGAAGAAGAACTTGGTTTTCTGACATACGTTCATTGACTAACTTTGGATTCAAGGAATACAAAAGCAGAGAACTACCCTGAGCTTGAAGAGGAGAGAGGCTTTCTAGTCAAAGCCAGCCTCTCTTACTCATTCAGTTCTCCTATTGAAAAGGTCACCATTTAACCAATAACTTCCTGAGAAATTAGTGCATGTTGGTCTCTCACAGGAGTGAAATGACTGCACTCTGAGCCAGAGAGCCTGCTCTGTCCAGAATGACCTTGGACAATTCACTCAGTTTTATTACGGTTTTTACACTCCTCCTGTCTTTAAGAAAAGGATACTAATTTTAGCTTCAATCCTCCCTTGGGAATGTTGTCAGGAAAGAGTAAGAGCGTATGGGATACAGTGCAGGCTTCCACAGAGAAAGGCCTGAAAACAGATTTATGTGATGAACAGAGAGAAATGGATGCTATTCTCAGTATTATGCTGCTTTTCTTCCTTTTAAACACATTTCTCTAGTTAAAGTTCATGGTAAACTGATAAGAACGCTAAGCAGATATAGGTCATACAACTCTGTGAAATCATGAACTCGCCTGCTCCCGATTCTCATTTTGAGCATTCATTTGACACCATCCTGTTCTCTAGAGACAAACAGGAAACACAACCATAAAGGTTCACCTTGTTTATAAAAGTCCAAATAGTCCATATAGTCCATATGTAGCACTGCCCTGAGTGTCAGCACCACCTTCCTAACCAATCCTCTGAGTAAAGCAGTTCTGCACACACAAGGTCACAACAACTTGACACAAGCAGCAGACAGGTTTCCTAAAAAAGAAGCCCAGGACCAGTCAAAAGCAAGCAGCAACTCCTAGCTGGCCATGGAACGTGGTCACATTATTCTCTGAACATACAGAAAGCAACATTCAGCAACCAGTGGAGTCATTGTGACAGAGACAGAGCTTTCTCTTGGGCTGTAATCAATTACAATGCTTTAGTGCATTATGTCTTAAAGAAAAAAAAAGAAACACATGAAAGAGCTCTCTCTCCAGGTCTCTCTTTTTAAAACAGTGCAGTGGAGACCCAGCCTAGTCAAATCATTTAAAAGCCACCTTTGACCAATTGCTGTTTGTAACATTTCCAAAATTGCACAAGTAGACATAAAATAATTATCTGAAATACACAGTGTCTTTTTATCAGATCACAGTTTTATCTTCCTTCCCCATGCCAAGAAAGATATTAATATTTTTAAAATGTTAAAAGTACATTATGTGCAGTGTGTCTTGTGCAGCCTCTGAGCCAATGCACGGGAGAATCAGCTCTGGACTCTGTGGAGTATTCTCGTCCGATTTCTATATATAACCACATTCCACATGCACAAACCACCCTGCACCCCTCCTCATGCACACTGCAATCTCACGCTTGCAGAAATCAGAATGCTGTAACGATGCCCTGGATCTGAGAAATTCACCAGAAAAGCCCAGAGATGGTTCCCTGACTAAATGTAAAGGCTGATTCAGTCAGCACAGTGCCTTGGCAGCAGGGCAGGCGCTGCCCAGCTCTCTGGAGTGTAAGCCGCATGGTTAATAATGGCATGGGTTCGTGGGATCAGCCTCTTACCTTGGAATGCTGCAGCAGGAGTACCTGCTCTTCAAGCTGCTGTCGTTTGCCTTCTATTTCCGTCTGCCTCTTTCTTTTTTCCTTGAAAATAAAGAGAGAGAGAAAGAGAGAGGCTGTCAGAGTGGGTGGGTGTTGGCTCCAGGAATGTGAAGGCAGGGAGCAGGAACAGAAGCAGCACACATCTGTGCAGTCACTTCCAGAGACGCTGGGCACACTTGCAGTGTCACCTGCCCCACCGTGGCTGGGTGTGTGGCAAGCAGCAGTCTCCTAACATGTCTGCGGTGGGCTTGGCCAGTGGGAGAGATGCTCCTCACTCAGCCAGGCTGCAACAATTTAATCCACAAGAAAAGGCGGTTTACATGCCACACACACACAGACACAGACACACACACACACACACACACACACACACACACAGAGCCCTGTGCTTGCAGTATTAATCTGGAGACAAAGAATAAATATGTCTCAATCGAAAAGACAGGGTTAGATTTCTTTGGTCAAAATCATATACATAAGTAATAAGATGTAATTCCAAATTGGGTGGGAGAAATGCAGTTGGGCAAGTCAGACAATGCAAATGAGAGGGATGGTCTTTGCTTAAAGGAGCCTTGGGAGAAGCATTTCACATGGGCGGGGCTCACTGAGGTTACGGGAAATATGAAGTCTGGGTCCAACTCCAGCCCTACCACTTGCTACCAGTGTAGCTTCTGGAAAGTTCTTTTCCCTGCTTGAGTCTCAGTCTTCTCCTGCATAAAGTGGAGATAATAACTCTACCCCAACCATATGACTAGGATGTGGATTAAATGAGATGATGTAGGCCAAGGGCCTAGAACAATGCCTTACACGGAGTAAGCACTCATTTGCTGTTATTTGCTATTATTCTTACTGCTACATGTTTACTTCTAGGGAATGCCTAAAACTAAATTCAGAGATATATATTCCTGGTATTTCCATTGTAACCTTTATATTTTTCTTCCTCACACTTCTCCAGACAATAAACATCACAGGAATGTGATTCATAAGAAGAGAAAGGCCTGTCTCTACAATAGCTTGCTTTTAATGCTTTGTTTCCAAAGTATACAGGAGTATTTTATTGAGACATGTACAGCACTGGGTCATTTTCCTTTACTTGCAGATACAGGGATAATCTTGTCAGGCAAGACGTAATGATTTTTTACAACACAACACCTGAATCCTGAGGAATACAATGATGCAGAAGCCTCACTGCCATGTCGTGTGTTAATGGAAGCTTTGGTTTTTATGTAGTGCCATGTTTCTGTGGATGTGACTGCACTACTGCTGTTCAAATAAAGGGAATAATCATTTGTATTATAATCAAAGTTTTCTATGCAATGCACAGACTTTAAGAAATATTAGCTCATAATATGAATCACTAGAATACAATATTTGAGTCAATGAAATTATACCACTGCCAAATGAGACCCGTGAATATTTTAGGAACTTGCTATTTACCAAAGGACTCCAACTGGGGATGCATATTGATGCTATTTAATCCCAGAGTATGCCCAAGAACGTGCACTATATGACATTATATGTGAAAACTAAGGACCAATAGGAAAACCCCACCTATCCTGCGTCTCAGGGGTACCACATGACAAGCCAGGACCTCAGGACAAGCTACTGTATGTCATAGGGACTCTCAAGAGAATTCATTTCCACTCATCACCATAGCATGCAGCTGTCCTGCATTTCTTTTGTAATCATTTTTATTAGTGCCTAATAAGTTTTACTATTGGGTTTCAATGCATAAAATATATTTTGATCATATCCACCCTCCCTAACTGTTTACATTTAAACCTAGAACAAGATATAATATGTCATGGATACAAGATGCTGATGACTCAATACTTCCACAAATGTTAAATGAGTGCTTTGTGTTCTAACCACATGTCTTGTTACTTCCAAATCCTTCCCAGGCTTTCCCACTTCTGTGCTCTCATTCACATGGAAAGTTCCTATCATCATATTGGTGAACCATTCCCTAATCAAAAGAAACATTACCAGATGGGCTCTGTAGTGGCTCATCCTAAAACAGTAGTTTTGTCAGTGATCACTGTAAACTAACGTGGTCAAGATGGATGGAGATTTCAAATTACCCTTTAAGAATGGGTAGAAAAAAAAAAAGAATGGGTAGGATTTAGGTTGAGAGAACTAGGGTAGGAATGTAATGCATATCCCAAGAACACTAAGGAGGAAACTAACTGGGGTGATTCAAAAGATTGGTTACGACTAGACTAGTATTAAAGGTCTTGAATGAAAGACTAAGAAGTTTGGATTTTATTGTGTGGACAATGTAATATTGTTGCAGGGTTCTCAACAATGAATGGTAAAATGGTATTTTAGGAACTCTAAATGGCACTCACATAAAGGAAGGATTAATAGGGACTGAGATGCTTCTCCTATAAAAAAGTAAACATTTTAAACATTAGTAAACATTTTAGGTTTTGTGGGAAGTAGTTTGTTGCAACTACTCAATGCTGCCACTGTAGTTCAACAGCAGCCCCAGACAATATATAAATGAATGAATGTGGCTGTGTTCTAACAAAACTTTATTTACAAACATAGATAGAGGACAAGATTGGCACATGGGTCATTGTTTGCTGACTTCCAAATTAAAAGGTTCATTAAGTGTCTGCACATAGTGGGGATAGCCCTCCCCAGCTTAGAGCTATACCAATCAATATGGAAAGAGAAGGACAAATATAAGAACCAGAAATGATGAAACTCAAGGCTAACAGGATTTAGTGAGTGAGGAAAAGGGATGTTTTGGCTTTGAGCCCCACAAACCAGAAGACTGCTGGTGCAGGAATGGGCAATAATGAGAAAATGTTAAGATGGAGCTCATTTATACTGTATTCATATCTCCCCTAAGACACCAAATAGATATTAATATATGCAATCAGGCAGAGGCATTAGCAGGTTCACATCCATGTTCTAATTGGGCAAGATCCTGAGCTTGCCATCAACAGCTGTTGCAGGTTCTTTGTCTAGATAGGTCTCCTTCCATAGTGATCAGGTTGAATCCTAAAGTCACTCCTAATTGGCTAAGGGGTTAGATAATACAATCAGCCTTAGGTATCAGGTATGAGTCAAATTAAAACAAGCTTGTGCATGACATCATCAAGGAATATGCCTTTCAGCCCTTCCTACTTAGACTGCTGAGGTCTGAGTTGTTCTCCTCACCCACACAGCCTGCTGTTTCCCATATTTCTCCCACCTTTAATCAAGACAAAACCAGTAACTCATGGGCCCTTCACTCTCATCAACTCCACAACTCTACACCTTCCCCTCACTCCAGATCCAGATATCTAACTGCCACTTCTCCAGGGCCATTCCCTCAAGCTCAGCATGTGTGGTCACCATCTTGGGTGTCCCCCATCCCTATGTTCACAATGTTCCTTTGACTGTATTCTTTTTACTGTATTCTTCACCTGAGCAAACGCCACCACTCAAGTCAGATGTCGAAGTCATCTTAGACATTCACTTTCCTGAAAGACAAAGCTCCACTGAACCTCCTTGTTATTGTCCACATATTCTGCTTCCCTATTAAAATCCTTCCTTACTCCCTTAATATTTCCCCTTTATCTCCACACTTGCACAGGCAGACTATTCTACTTTAGGATCCTTAACACTCCAAATAACTTAATTGTTTATATCTCATCTCCATTTGGATTATTGCACTGGTTTCTTTACTGGTCTCCACATCGCCACGCCTTGGTTTCTTCAACTCAGTCTTCACATTGCTCCCTGAGCAACAGTCTAATACAGAAATCTGGACACCTCCACCTCTTGCCTTAAACCTAGAATGTCTCCTCATTGCCTATCTGTCTCATGGCTTCTTTTCAAACCATGACCCCCAAACGTATGCTCCAATCTCAAAAACTACTTGCAGTTTCCTGACCTGGGAGACGGATTGATATACTTCTGGTTTTATGCCTACTGCTTTCTAACAATAATGGATGTCTCTTATTGCTTCATTTGACAAAAAAACTATTCATCACTGACAGCACAGCTTAAATATCAATGAAGCTATAGTGACCAGTTGTCAATTTTGATCCATCTAGTCTTCCTTCCCTTGGGAAACTTATCTATGCTCACTATAAACCTTGTGGGACTATCATTCACGGTAAGTCACATACATCCCAGCTCATCTCTGTCACCAGGGCTTGCACATCAGCTAGCTTGGGCCCATCACACTACCTTAACCCTTTGCAAAAGTGAGGGATACCAAGGTTGGCTAAGAGTCTCAAGTATGACCAATAAGAGATATTTCTAGGGAGAGACACAGGAACATGAGGAGGGAAACATGCTTCCCTTCCACTACAGTTAAACTGAGATGATGTACATCAGAGTGGAAAGCTTCCCAAGCCACAAGAAGGAATGCATCTATAATATGTTAGAGAAAACAAGGTCAACCTGCAGGGAGAGGTAGAGTTGAAAAGCAGGGAAAACAGGATCCTGATTGGGGTCCAGATCGACCCTCCCTCCCAATAAGTTTATTGGTACATTTTAGGTATAAAATACAGTCACATTCATCATTGGGATCTTGTACCTTTACATGAGTCTCTTGGTTATTTTTCTCCCTTCCCCTGCCCTCCTTTCACCCCCTCCACCCTGCCCTATTTGCAAACACTTTGCTTCCATTTTTTTCCTTTTCTCATATATTTTCTTTTCCCTTCTTTCCATTCCCCTACCCCTCTCACTTCCCCTGCTCCTTTAGAATTTTTCTTCCTATTACATGATATCAATTATACATTTTAAAAATTATAATGTCAAGATCTAGAAGACATTACCACAGATTTTACAGAATTTCAAAGGATATAGAAAGCATATTACAAAAATCTTTTTGGAAATAAATTTGACAACTTCTAAGAAGTACCTTGAAGACAAATTAATGAAACTGACTCTGGAGGAAATATAAAATTTGAATAGCACCTGTTAAACAAAGTACATTCCTAGCTTGAAAACCTACCTATATGACAACAACAGGCTTGTATACATTTTAACTGATAAATTATATCAAACAATTAAAGCAGAAAAAAACAAAGAACACTTTTTCC